ATATATACTAATCCTATAATCACATATATAAAATTATTTTAGATTACATCTGGTAAAGATATTTATATTACCCCCAGCATGGCCGATGATATGCATATGTATTGCAAGAATTTGACTAAAAAAGTAAATTTAAATGATTTTTTTAATAACCTATGAAATTTTTTAAATATACTATATAAGAATTTAATAATTTTTTAAAATTTTATTAATTTACAAATAATAAGCATATTGAAGAAGCAGGACATTGGGTGATGGTAGAACAAACAAATCAACTTCATAAATACATTGAAGAATTTCTTGAAAATTTAAAGAAAATTGAAGGGCAGTCTCAAGTGATGCAAGATTTCAGAAAAATACCTCGGAATAATTCAAAATTGTAGATTGTGATATTTCAAACTTTTTTTTTAAATTTATAATTAGTTTTACAAATTTCATTTTCAAATGATTAACTTGGTGTAGACGAATTAGAATGTTTCTGATAGAAAACGATCTCTCGATGTTCTAACGATACTAGTTTGTTTCATAAGATATTAACTAATTTACATTAGGGGTTTATTAATGTAGAAGCTATCATGTATAAGTACTTTACAGAAACTTAAATCTTTTAATATGCAATAACTGTATAGTAACTATATAGTAACTATTATAATAATCATAACTATATAGCTACTATACAGTTACTGTGTATTTAAAGATTTAAGTTTCTGCATAGTAAATATTATAACATTCTCTATAAATTATCTATGTATTTTATACTTTTACATAAAATAATCTATATTATTTTAAAATATGATGAATATGTGATGAAAATCTTAAGCACTCTACTTACAATACCGGATCTTTTATACGACAGTATATATAAATAAATGGTCATACAATTCACAATAGTCTGATATATCCATTTAATTCAGTTATAACATTTTATTATAATTGATAATTTATATAAAAACATTAGAAGCATAATATGAACTTTTGTTTGAAAATACTGTATTACTTTTAATCAAATGAGTGATTTAAACAATTGGTATAAATTTATAGTATCAAAGATATATATTGAAAAGAAAATACTATCTGTATTCTTTATACTTTTAATAAATTTATTAACGTTTTTTTTACTAAATTGTAATGAAAATTTCTTATAATATTGATTATCGCCTTAAATTACAGAAACGAGTTGATAATGATGTGTGATATGACTTCAAACTCAATCGTTTATATAAATTCATTTTTTTTCCTTGATAAAAATAATATTCTCTTTCATCTAACAAGCCGTAATCTATAAGCCACGAAGCAGGTAATATAAACTTATAAACTGTAATGCATCTTAATAAAATGCTTAACATTAATAGTTTCCAAATAAAAAAGTAGGAATTCGAATCTGAAAACATGATATTCACGACTATTAGTTGTGCTGTCTTTATCACAATTATTGGGTTAGTAACTCACAAGCTTTTTTTGACATCATCATCAGATACCGAAGTTCCTCTATTTTACCAGGACAGTGAATCAGATAATGAGGATGACAGAGAGAACGAACAATTACTGAAAAGGTTGTGATAATTTCGGATTGCAAATTTTGAATTTAATCAATATTTGTAAGAAATGTTGAAGTATTCTTAAGGATTACGGAAATGCATCAAGACGCGTATTTCGGTTTAATCTGTACAAATAACGTAAACTTTATTGTTATTATTAAAACACAACTTTCTATTCCTGCTTCTAGATGACTTTTTAAATTCAATAAAAATATTGATCTTTATTAATATTGAGTAACTCTCATAATGTTTAAAGTTTTTATAGTTGACGTTGCTTCAAAAAAATTATTAGAATATTACTGTAGAACAGATTCAACAAAATATACAATTTTTAATTAGCATCAATTAAAAATAATTAATTATACATTAACAATATTATCCCCGTGAGATCATGAAATTTGCCGCCTTGCATCAAAACAATTACAGGGATGATCCAGGCATCAGCTGAAATCAGAAAAATAATGAAGGGTCTTCCAGTGTTCTCAAATGACCGGGTCATTTGCATATTTTTCGAGTCATTTAAAAGTCATTTGAACTTGGAAGGCTCAAATAACAATTTAGTTAATTTAGTTATAAAGTTTATTATGCTAATTAATAATATATATACAATATTATCAGTTATCTTGCTTAGTGAAAAAATTGGTTATTTGGTCATTTAAAATCATTTGAGAACACTGCTCTGCTCTAGCTCAACAAAATTTTACGTTATTTATTAATTGAAAATTTACTTGGTCTGACCAATATCCCTATGCTAGAGAATTATACCCACCAAGAATTTCATCAGTATCTTTAACTTTCATGACCACAATAGTATTTTCTTGCATTATTAGTTACTAAATACGCAACAGCTTTCTTTTCGCTAATAACTCGTGATGGTATTTTTGGTTCTAAAATCATTCAAGATAGAAGGATTTACAGTTCTTTCCATTATATCTTTCCAAAGACTTCTTTATATGATTGATTGATATGGATCTAAATGGTAAATAATGTTGTCACCAGATATTTGAAAATAATGATAAGAGGCAAACAATTTCGTAATCTTGCTTTTAAAGCTAGAAAGTCTCTTGGGTCCAGTTTACAGGTCTGATGGTATGCCCGGGTTTTGTGTGACTGCTATTTTCAAATTTTTATTTCTTCCATCACGCTTAATAAGAGATACTAAAGCGTTTTCTTTGAATTGATATGAGTCAAAAACCGTTTCTGGATGCTTTACCACAATATCGTTACACCATATTTGTAATTCTTAGATTGAGTATTTTTAAAGCTTTTTTGTAAAATGTAAACGAAATCAATTAATTAAATAAGTTTCTAGGTGGTTGGCAAATTTTTCTAGAAGCTCGTAAGCTACAAGCATGAGTTCAAAAGTAAATAATGTATCTTGGTTTTCTATCAAAATTACATATATATATCTTAATAAAAAAAAATTAGCTTGATTGGATTTTTGCGCATAAATTACTATTATACTCATTTAGATTTTTGCCTTTACTACAAATCACATAAAATAACGTGTAATTCATTTCCAAGTAATAAAAACGTCAAGAAAATAATAATAAATGGCGCACTTAATATTTGGGTTAATATTAAAACTTTGCAAACGCGCCAAATAATATATAAAATAAAGTATATTAACTCGACAAAGCTTCAAGATGTTGAGCAGAAATATGGTTTAGATTAATTGTTTTAATGTTGTTATCATCTTTACTAATCTATGCTAATTCATTATAAAAATACAAAGATCTATATCTTAAAACATTTGAATATGTTTGAAATATCTATTTGTTGATTCACCAGCATTAATGATCACATTAAAGTCTTCTTCGTCATTAAGAAGCTTAAGTTGTGTTTGTAGTTGCCTAAATTATCGACTCGACTAACAGAGTTTAAAAATCGAATTTTTTTCGCCAACCTATTATTATCAAAGTTGGTTGATTGTCTAGTTTCCTAAATCATCCGCCAATTCTATATGCACACAACTAAAGAATCGACTAAGTCGGATTTTTTAAAAAATCGACTGACTTAGTCGGCTAATGCCAAATCAATTACAATCAGTAATTCACTTTTGAAACCCATAAATTAATTCCAGGAACAAGTTTAATTTAAGCATTTTAAAAGTAAAGCCTAAATTCAAAGTTTTAATAAAATAGATTTAATTTCTAAATAAGCTATTTTCATTTCTAAACAAGTTGTGAACCATCATCAAAAGGCAAGAAATTATTATTTGTTTATTTCCGGGTCAAGCCACCGAGATGAATTAAAATCTTCTGCATCATCACTTCAAGTTAATGGATTGCGTAGATAGGAAATAACAGTTGAGTTTTCTAAAGAAAAAAATATAAAGTACATATTTTAATATCATATAAATTGAACTATGAAAATTGCTTAGAACTTCATTTTTTAAATTTTGATGAGCGATTACAGATGCTTGA